ACTACTTACTCTGCTTGGAAAGAAAAGAAATACGATAAAATGATTCTTCAGAACCAAAAACCTTGATTATCTAAGAAGTATACTATTTTATTGCCTCTACCTTTCTGTTGTTCTACGTGTACTATTTCAAAGATTTATTTTTATGCAATCAAGAGAGGGCTTAGACATTGTTCACAATGCAGTAAAACCCTGAAATGACTTTGAGGCTAATATACCTTGGAGAAAAATCAAAAAACACTGAAAGCTACCATCTATTTTGTTAGCACTGGATAACAATGACTTGTTCTAACAAGTTATCTTATCAGGTTTTACCTGTAGTTCATATGCTAGATAGCAATCCAGTTCACATTTTTACAAATGTGATGTTTAAAAAAATGTCAATAAACATTTTGTACATAATGACAGTTTCCTATGAATCGCTTACAGACTTCCTCTGAAATAATTCTTATTTCAAATGCCGGGATAAGAACTTAAAGGTTTGTAAATTATTTCTTGACCTACATGATTTTGTATTAAAACAAATGCAAAATGTTCTTCAAAATAAAACTGTGTAATAATTTTATTATATTTGGGACTCCTTTTGCTAATGGTTTTTCACCAAGAAGCTCCAAAATTTAAATTCTGTTTGCACTGTTTAAAGAATGGGAGGGAATTTGTGGAATATAGTGATCAGTCTACACTATCATAGTGTGTAAGTCTTTTATGAATGATTGCTGTTAACCAGAAAGAGACTGGAGTATTTGTATGAAAAAGGGCACTATTACTCCCCTGCTACCTAGGGGATTAGTGCATCCCTAGATACCGATCTACGGAAACAATTAGGAAATTCCAAGTAAAATTCCCTAAAAGGTCAAAACAAATCTTTCATTCTGTCTGCCAGGAAACACTTGGGTGGGTCCCCAGCAGTAGTCACTTTGTTAGACGTTCCCAGCTTACAGAAACAAGCTTCGAGACACCAAAATGGAGCTTTCCGGATCTTGTATCACTGTGAAACAACAATCAGTAGTTTTCAAAATTCCACCTGCTGTGGTATACCCACTTCTGAAAACCACCTTTAAGGCAACTGCAGTTGAACATTAAAAAAAACAGGAGGAAAAAAAATCCCAGACCAGGTTACTTAACTGCCTGGAGTCTTGATAGCACGTCAAATTTGGCAGATTGATCTGAATGACAATTTTTTAATTAATCACTTGTCCAAGGAGACAGAAAACAATGTGCTGACTTCACTGTATGTTCTTGCTAGTACGGTTTGTCCTTAGCTTTCAATAGTATGATGACAGAATCTTTAGGGCAGATACACTATTTTATGAGAAAACAGTCCTTACAAACAATGAAGGAAATTTAGTTACAAAGCCATGTTCTAGATAGCTACTGGTTTACGGGAGAACACATATATATGTGTATATATATATGCATACACAGAATACCTGTTGAATGTTATTACAGAACTATATGGGGAAAAAGTAATCAATATATGTACAATTACATGGTAATTGGAACCCTTAAAATACTGCCAATCATAGCAATTACTCTGTACAGAAAAACTAGAAGTTATCTCAACAACTAAAACATATTTCATGAAATTAAGAAATCTCATTGTTTATATATGTATAATGACAAAAAACATTAGTAAAGAATTAAACATAGCTAAGTGTTTCACAGTGAAGTAAATTCACTGAAAAAGTGAATATATAAAATATATTCATATTTGAACAATGTTTTTTGGAGCTTGGATGACAAGAATAGAGACTAAAAATTATGGTAATAAGATATGCTTTTCTCTACAAATAACTTCATTTTAACTATAATTTAAAAAAATGCATAAATGCTTTTGTTATTTCTCAGAATATGTTTCTATCTTTATTTTATAGATAATGGATGTTCCAAGCCCACTTTCCAGTTTTCCCATATTTATATAGCTGCCTCATTTGGTTGCAGACTAATTGAAATCGGACACTTCGAAAGGATTTTAAGCTGCAGAAACATCAAAAGTTCTGGTTTATGAAACCTTGAATGGCCTTATGTAAATTCAATGTACTGCAGTTTTACAAATACTGCTATTTTCTGCTGCTTTTAAAAGCATTTCTCATACTAAAGCAACTTGATCTGAAATGTGTGTACAAAAGAAACAGTTTTGGTCACTTTTCTCAACCTCATTGTCCCCAGCCAGAGACCTCCAACTGTGTCAGCAGCATCTGCAGCAAGCTGTAGCCCTGGCAGTGCTGGTGTTCTGACTTGCACTGCCGTTGCTGGTTCAAGCCATGCTGGCAGGTCTAGTAACTTCCAGATTCTTACATCAAACAATTTTTAAATGTAACTGTTTTTGACTACGTAATATAGTATCATCTGTGCATTTATAGAAAAATTTATATCTGGGTAGAACTGGGAATAATATTCAATTATACACTGTATTATTTTGTTAAGTAAGTAAAACTCTGGAATTATCAGCCTGTGCTCTGCAATCCGGTAAAGTGTAAAAGATGGTTAATTTTAGCTAGCAGACTGTCAGTGCTCCACAGAACATATTAGAGTATCTTGTACCTGTTCTAAATATCCCTTAGCAGATTTGACTGTGCTACAAGCAAGAATGATTTTAACAGGAATTTAATATCAGCAGCCACATGCAATGCAGGAGAAGCTAATGGTAGCATGATGCTACCTCAAGATTTCCCCAGGGCAACAACACTTTCAAATACCTGAGCCATTTCTTTAGCACTGCATCAAAGGAATGTCATGAAGGAGTCTCAACATTCTATAGCAGTGAGGCCTAAATTAATCAAGCAACTGCGGTTCACAGCATTGAAAATACTGAAGTCTTTAGAAGGGGAGGAATTTGCAAGGTGTGTACATATGTTTAGAAGAAATGTCTGATTATCTGACTGCACGATGCAGCAGTGTGTACCTGAACACAAGATGCACGTGCAGTTTGGCATGTATATCTAACCTTGCTGTTTCGTATTTTAGAGCTTGACATAATGGCGGAGGAGAGCTCTGTGCGTGTTCTGTAGTAAGTTATGTAAGACAGTGGCTTGTTAATCCTCTGCGGTTGCATAATAACAATTCCCATCTTGCATGCCTAGAGTGGAAACCCATGCTGTAAATCTGCAAATGCAGGAACTTCAGTATTCCGTGCTTCCGAATTGCTTCCCCTCTCAACTGCACAGGACTGTGGTAAGTCTCGCCAGTATATATTACTCTAATTATCCTAATACTTTGTATTCCAAATGACACTAAGACACCTACTGAATACCTTTAAAAGAAGATCTCAAAAGCACTGGTGTTGAATGAAAACAATTTGCCCTAAAAAGGTACACCATACACAGTTCATGCTTTCCCCAAATACACAATTGCTTCAGATTGTCTTATTAACACAGCTAATCAATCACCTATGACTTAAAATATTCTTGCTCTTCCCCGCATTCCAAAAGAATGCACCATATACATAGAAAGGCTTTACCTGTCTCCTTTTGGAGCTGAGTTCGCTGCTATCATCTTTCACTTTCCGCATTTTTATTTGTCTTTATGTAGATACTCTCATGAATTAAGTCCTTTCCCTCAGTTAGCAGCAGGGCTTCCAACCACTGCCTCACAGCAAGCAGCACCAGGTAGAAGTATCTGCCTTAAACAGCTGCTGTTGTCCCTCTAGCCAAAATCCGAGTCAGCAAGTTTTTTACGATTGCTCAGAGGGTGTAAAATCCCATTTTTTCTGAAAAAAAAAAAAGTTCATTCTGTTCACCACAAGTCCTGGGCAATATTAGGCTACAGAAGCCTTTGTTTTATACTTTGACAGCTGCTTAGTCAGAAGTTATTTTGGAATACTCAATAAATAAAAAAAATTTAATGGATTCGATTTCATTCAATGAGTTCAGTTTCTTCAGGTTTGTTTTTCTTTAAACATCAGTTTAAAGATCTGAAAGTTACATTGACACAGAAAACAGTCCCAGAAGAGCATGTATCTTGCTTTACACATCTGAAGATAGTAAACCACAGATTTAAGTCATAACTAAAATATAGCATTGGCTCACTGAGTTACTTGCCTTCTAATTAAAAAGATCTCTTGCTGCATCATCAGTATCTGACCTTATGCAGTTACTTTGAGTAACCTTTCATTTTAAATCTATCTTGGCTGTAATTTTTTTTAAACAAAATTTGATAGTAAGGCACCATTTAGATGATTTGCTTAGAAATATCTTTTGTAAACATTCATCTTTGAGCAAAGACCAGTAACTTTAAGGACATTACAGGAAGTGCAAAACTCTTACTGTGCTCAGTGATAAAGTTGTACAACTAGATCAGCTTAAATTGTGAACTGAATTCTACTAAGCTCCTTGTGAAAAAAGCAATGAGAAATTCCAGTTTTCCAGTGTATTTTTTTAAATATCAGCTCCTGTTGTGCATTTTTTAGAAAAACAAGTTTCTGATAAATACAATGTATGTTTTCTTTCTGAATACTATACAGTTAAGACTGCTAAGTATGGTGAACTCTAACTTTCAGTAAGGATTTGTAAACTGTGCATTGCTCCCATAAAAAAACACATTTGACAAATTCTGAGCACAGACAGGTTCCTCTCCCTCTCATGAATTCTGATACAAACTGCTTTGGCCTGTGAATATCAAATTGCATAAATGCTTACATTTACTTAACCGTTCTTTGCAGGATGTGGGGATTACTGACTAGCTGTTATTCTGGGTAACACTCTCACAGCAGTTAAAATCATTCCTTTAAAGAACAAGGCATACCATAATGATTTTCAAAACAGCTCACATTAATCTTTTCCATTCCTCATGCAACTGCACAGTATTTCTGGCTTGTGTGCACAACTGTCTTGTCACTTAGAAATAGCTTCTCTTCAACAAAAAACCTGTACCACAAAAGGTCGTGTTTAACTAAAATAAGCAGCTTAAGCCAGCTGATTAAAAAAAAAAAAATAGGTAGTCTAATATAAGAGAATAGTTCAAATTAATGGTTATTTTAATAGGATATGTTATTTTGCATGGTATTTATTTTGTTGGCATGTTCAGTATGAGATACCAATATAATGATGAAAGCCTAAGTAGCAAACGATGTGAAAGGATAAAAATGTTTATCTCTGCGTTTCCAACGTCTTGGGCTTATATACAGGAACATTTTTCTCCTGAAGCGACGGGAGGCCCTTAATTATATCTGCAGCTTTCTCTGCTATCATAATAGTTGGGGCATTCAAATTTCCACTGACAACACTGGGCATTATTGAAGCATCTACTACTCTCAAGTTTTCAATGCCAATTACTTTTGTTTGGGGATCAACTACAGCAGTGCTATCTGAAGGCTGACCCATTTTACAGGTGCAGGAAGGATGATAAGCACTATCAGCCTTCTGCCTTACGAAAGTATCTATTTCTTTGTCAGACTGAACATGGTTTCCTGGTTGAATTTCAGGCCCACGAAATTTTTCAAAAGCTTTCTGAGCGAAGATCTCTCTGGTCAACTTGACACACTGGCGGAATTCCCAAATATCTCTTTCTGTATGGAGAGAAAATAAGAAAAGTCTTAAGTACACCCTTAACTTAATAATACATACAGAATGCACAACAGAAAAAAATAGCATTGAAGAAAAAGAACTAGAGGGAAAGTCTCTCACTTATTGCTGAAAGTCATAATAAAGTAGGGTATTTTTCAAAGTCACAGATATTTACATTCACTGTGAACAAAACTCCCAAAAGGGGATAGGTGAGCTATGAAGAATTGCCCTTTATTTTGCTACACCCACTGTCTACAGCTAAGGACCTTAGTCTCAGCATGAAGCAGCAAATGAGATCCATCCCTACACAAGCAGAGGAGGAGATGAAATGAACAGCATGATGCAGCAAACACCGAGAACCCTGACTGCATCCCCAACAGGGAATTCCTTTTGCTTTATACAAAGCTTTGCTCAATGGCCTCGTTTGATACTGACTTTTATAAATGAGAAATAAATAACAATGCACTAGCCAGCACTTTTGAACTGGTGTTGAGCAGACATGAAAATCTGCTAATGAGACAGGCAGGAAATAAGTTGCCATCAGAACAAGGAGAGGCTGCATTTACCTGCTGACATGTAGTTAGGCTCAATGATAGGATGGTCATTTGGATCTGTGCTCTTCAGCTTTAGCCAGCCCACACTCGTGCTCCTCAAGGGCCCCACATGGACCTGCAACACCCACACTATACTTACGACACAATCTCATCAGATGTATTTCCAAATTCAGTATGGGTTTTTTTTTTTCAGTTCAGACACTCTTTACAAATTAAGCAAATGTAAATGTTAAAGGGGGATAATGGAAAATCCTATCACACATTTTTCCATTCCACATAAATTTGTTGTAGATATGATATTCCATAAGGGGAAGGAAATATACTTGTCTTCTCAACTCACAGCTGTTCTTTTAATTTAAAATACAACATTCCAATTTAGCCATAGCAGAGCATTCTAATACATTCAGCAATCAGACCAAATTACTATCATCGCTGAAGAAAAGAGGTGAGCAAGAAAAAATGTGTATATTCAGTGACAGTTCCTCGGCATTAGCACAGACTTTTGGATCAAGATCGTACTCTAAATGGGGCTTGGATTTGTGCCAGTGAATAAATGAGTGGCCTCATACATTCTCACTTAAACCTCTATCTAAACTGCAGTGAGACAGGGAACACCTTGTTTCAGTTTTATACAGCACTTAGCACAATGGTATCCTAATCAATAACACTATGGCATTTCAGTAGTGCAAATACTTCAACAGCAGTTAGATACTTGTCTACTTTTCCCAAGATAAAAAGTAAGATAATTTTGGTAGCAATATCCAATAACAAGCTCATGTTTTTTTCCCCGATGTAGGAGGTTAAGCCAGCTCTTTTTGTATTATACTGAACAAAGTATTTTTCAGTATATAGCTAAATTATCAATATTTATAACAGAGCATGAGCCTCCTTGCTAATCACTACAGAACATTACTGGAATATGTTCTTCAACAACTCACCTGGTAAGCTTCCATTGTGGAACCAACCCGACCATGATCAATCACCTGAGAAGGGAGAAAGTGGAACTGAATGTCGGGGTGAGGAACCCCTGGTTCACTTCGGATAAACCCACCAGATTCTAAGTGGGCAGTGGCTCCCTCACCTAGAGAGTGTAAATGAGAGAGAAACTGCCATTAAAAGACCTCATAAAAGCAAAAAATCCACTTCTTAACCCTTGGTTTCACTACTATGAATAATTCATATGTACACTGGAAATTGCAAGGAATGCAAATCCATTATAAGCAGCTTATAATTTAAGCAATATGCATCACTTTCATCTGCTTTTTAATCACTAGATAAATGTAAGTATGCATAGCTTTGGAAATCCCATTTCTCTGATGTCTGGTCCCAGGATCCCAAGGGGTGTGGAGGCAACTGACTGCAGCATCTTGATATTACTGCACTGCGTGTCCATGGAGTATACATGCAGTATAGTTATCCCATCAGTCACATGTAATAGGCAGAGCCGTCCATAACGCCTACCCTGAAGTGGAAAGATGACAAGCCTGCAGTGCCCCTCATATTATGTTATTTTCACATGTGTTTAAAACCATGAGTTATCTCTCAATATTTACTTGCATGGTAAAAAGCCACTCATACCCAATGTAAGTTGTCAACTACTAACATCATAATTCCACAAGTGATGAAGTCCTCAAATTTAGCCAAACTGTTTTCCTGATTTCAAGGATTACTTTCACGGATTCTTTTTAAAGCACAGCTTCCAGGTAGGTTACTGTAAAATGAGTGTGTCGTTTTAACAAAAGTGATTTCCGATTTATATGTAAACCTAAAGGGTTCTGATCAGAGCAACAAACGAATCCTTTTGGGGCAATTATATGGAAAACTGAATTTAGCTCAACAATATGTTTTTATTGACAAAATACTATCTCAAATAGAACTTTTTCTTAATTTTTTACAACAGCTGTTCTCAGTAGCACCAAGATTTAAAAGTAGAATTTTTTTTAAATGAGAAGAGATATAAAAATGTTAAAAACCACTGTATAAAAACCTCACTTGCTACCTACAATGTAATAACTGTTTTAAAATACTTTGATTTAGAAAAACAGAAATAGTTCAAGCCCATTTGCAAGCTCCAGTTATTTCCCAGGACATGGAAAATTTATGTATAAAGGCTCCCAGACTTTGAAATTCATGGATAAAAGGCTGTACTAATTGTAAAGCAATCAGTGGTAGAAGGACTGCATACTTTGTTTCATACCTGTAAACCTCCAAAGCCATTCTAGACCAATCCTCACCATGTTAACTGGCTTTTGTGCGTTATATAGAGTAATAGGTTTGGTGCACTTTTGTTGGACGTACACTTCTAAATGATCTTGAAGGTTCTGGCCTACTCCTTGTGGGGCAAGGAGAGGAAGAAAGGAGGAGAATGAAAAGAAAGGAAGGATAAAAAAAGTTATTTCACACAGAACAATTATACACAAAATTTGCAACCAAAACCCAACATAAATGGCAACTAAACTAACCTCTTACAAGGGCAGTGATTACTAAGACCAAGACCATGAGCTCTCTCAGCCTTTTGTTCATGTCAGAATAAGGTTTTACATAAGCATAGCATAACTAGAATGAAATTAGAAAGCTAAATGGCAGACGTATCACTTGTTCTAAAATTGCCAGATATGACTTCTAAGTACAGTTCTAGCTTTTCTAGTTTAAAGCAAAAGTGCATGCTATTCTTTCTGTCTTTGAATATATATGACAGTGGGAGTTTATACAATCTGTTGTGGATCAAAACTCATTCAAAATCCTAAATGATAAATATGCTGCTTTAAAAGTACTCAGTGGCATTTTTCACTATCAAATATAGTGAAGAAAGTGTAGGAGTTTATTGTTCAGTTCTAAAAGCCATGTGTGTTTCCACTGAATTGTAACACTGTGTTTCAGTCCACACAACCTGACATAAAGACAGCTGAATTTCATGGATTCATTTCATTTAACTGAATTACATTTGAATTGCATCCATAGGAAGATGTAAGGTTAAAATAAATAAAATTACCAGGAAGATGGCAAACAACAGGGATCCCCAGTTTTTTTAGATCATCTGCATTGCCAATTCCAGATAACATAAGCAGCTGTGGAGAATTTATGGCACCTCCACTTAAAATAACTTCTTTACTGGCAAAAGCCTAAAAGGAAATGAGCACAAAAGTCCTAACATTATTAAGCCTGATCTGAATACAAGCAACACATCAAGAGCTTCTGTTCAGATACGCTCTTCTGATCCAGATTAGACATCCTTCCCTCCCATTTTTCTCATTCTAAATGCATTCCTATCTTGCTGTAAGTTTCTGCAGAGATAAATGATCAAGCTTTCACTTTGATCATTTCTGTATTTATTCCCATGTTTGCAATCCGTTCAAACCGTATGGCAGACAAACATTCAGCTCAGCCAGTACCTTCGCTGCCAATAAACTCCTGTGCTACTTGCCAGGAAAAAAGTACCTATGATGGTCAGATCAGTCAGTTAACCATCGCTTCCATTTTCAGTAAAGGTTTGTAAATTACAACAGAAACTCCTCAGGAAGATGTTTGAATTCAGAGACATGCTAGCCCAAAAATTCTCAAGAGTTTATTTTCTTAATTCATCCATGACTAATGTTTAGTTTCTTAGCTCACTGTAGTCCTCAGAAGCTCCTCAACCACTAAAGCACTACTGAGAAAACTGACTGCAGGCATATATATATAAAATTCAGTTTTGGTGACAGGCTTTTCATCAGTTTGAGTCTGACCCCTGAGGTGATCATGATATAGGGCTACAAGGATGGTGAGGGGACTGGAACATCTGTCCTAGGAGTAGAGGCTGAGGGAGCTGGGCTTGTTCAGCCTGAAGAAGAGAAGGCTGCGAGAGGACCTTATAAATGCTTACAAATATCTGAAGGGTGGGTGTCAGGAGGATGGGGTCAAGCTCTTTTCAGTGGTGCCCAGCGACAGGACAAGGGGCAATGGGCACAAACTGAAGCACAGGAAGTTCTGTCTGAACATGAGGAAGAACTTCTTCCCTCTGAGGGTGACGGAGCACTGGAACAGGCTGCCCAGGGAGGTTGTGGAGTCTCCTTCTCTGGAGATATTCAAGACCCGCCTGGACGGTCCTCTACAGCCTACTGTAGGTGACCCTGCTTCGGTAGGAGGGTTGGACTAGATGACCCACAGAGGTCCCTTCCAACCCCGAACATTCTGTGATTCTGTGATATAGGTTGCTGAAATATTTCTCTGCCTTTGGCTCCATTTTCTGTGCTGGATAGCTCTTTTTCTAGAATCTTCTCTGCAAGTATTTTTGGCACAATTTCTTTCCAATGATTTCTGCCCCCAAATGCTCTCATTTAGCAATACCAAAATCATTCTCTGTGTCATTTGTATCTGGGGTTAGTGCTTTGCACTGTTAAAAGGGAAAACTGTGTGAAGTAAGAAAATACATATACCCACCCTCCCTTCCCCTTTACTCTGCGAAAGAGGATGATGTGGGTGACCCCAACATTGTTCAAATTATCCCTCTCTGTTCCAATGAAATGGCTCATGAACACACACACATTGGATACACTCCATCCTCCCTAGTTGCACGTATGTTGGCTGTTGAAACATAAGGTATCTTTTGTATACAGACTGAGTTAGGTAGTTGATTACAAACTGAATATTAACTCTTACATGTTAGGAAAAAAAAAAAAAAGATTCTAGATTCACTTGTCCTTATGAAAGAACAACTGCACCACAGAAGAAACAAAAAGTAAGCAACAATTTATATTTAATGCGAAGTCCAATGCTACCTAAGCTAGTCAAATGTTTTAAAGCAATATACATTCGCAGAAGTAATACTATAACATTTATCTGTAAACTCTAACATATCAGTGTGGCCACAGTGAGGAAAAAAATAGATGAGGCACACAATTATGCCCCTGAACTTCCTCTCACTAGCAAGCAAAACCCGGAAGGGTTCAAGGAAACATATCTGGGATTGCTCATCTGCATTCTCTGCTCTTGTAGAATGTAAGGTACTATCATGAATAGTTGTTTGTTTTTATTTTAGATGAGACATTTAGCTTCTAAAGGAACATTAAAAAGTGCTATTTTATTCCTGCAGTATGGTGAAGTGTTAACAGATTAGCATGGAGTGCATATTAACTTGTAATAATCCTGTCCTTTTTTAATGACACCTCAGCTGCTATACAGAGAGATGGTGAATGAGATTGTTGCTAGCAACTAGATCAAAATGTAGCGCAAAGATAAACTTTGATAAATTGTTTCCATGCTATTTATCTGATATTGCCAATGGATAGCCAGCGCTGATATTTTTTGTTCGCTATTGTTTTGCTGCGGGTAATCATTAGTACGTTAAGACTAATACACAGCATATCTGTGATGGCTGAATCAATACTTAGATCTGTATTTTGCATGTTATAGAAATATAACATTTATATTTTCTGTGGTACACACAGAACTGGTGCCAGTTTGTTCCAGGTAGCATTTAAATCATGCTCAGAATCACAGAATAGTAGGGGTTGGAAGGGACCTCTGTGGGTCATCTAGTCCAACCCTCCTGCCGAAGCAGGGTCACCTACAGCAGGCTGCACAGGACCTTGTCCAGGCGGGGCTTGGATATCTCCCGAGAGAGAGACTCCACAACCTCCCTGGGCAGCTCATTTGGTCTGTGCTCACTGCAAAGTCAGCACTGTAGTTATTCTTAGCTCATATACAGTCTTTCATTGTGCTTAACGCTAACATGCAAAGAAGAAAAACTGAAACATTTTTGTATAGGTTATTTAGTCTATGGTACATTAAAAACATTTTTCTCCTTTAAATACACTTCTCTGCTTGATTCTGAACTCAGAAACTCCAGGAAAGTTCAGTCTACCTTCCCTACTTTTGTCAGAAGGCTTACTGGAGTCCAGGGAGCTCTGTGGGACCCCAGTGTCTACTGGAATAACACTTAAGTCACTGGCTTGATGACTATGTTTTGAAGCATGTTTGAATCAGGTTTTGATAATCTTTAAACTTTACTGATGACTGATGTAAAAAAGATCCTACCTAAAATACTGTAAAAACAAAAATGCTTTGATGTAATCAAGTGTTTCATCTTGATGTTCATAATGTAATAAAATTAGTAGTGCTTCCAGCCTGACAGGAAATAAAAGCAGACAAGTCCTACATTTTTGATTTTGGGGAGAAAAAAGGAAGGTAAATACTTTGAAGGTGTACTTTTTATGATATATGCTATAAACATATATCATTCACTATGTATAATTCATACATGTATCGATATGTATGAAAATTCATAGCAATAAAAGAATTTTGCAATTAAAGTGGTCCAGCATTCACAAAGCATTTGATCATGTGTAATTAGCTTTTCCAGACTTTCTTCCACAAAATTAATCTTGATAATGGCACAAGAACACCAAGTAGAGATGCTGTTTTTGCAGACATTTAATAGCTCATGAAATCAATTATATTTTCTGCAACTTCTGTTTTACATTGTTAATGATAATCATATTACCAATCCACTTAGAAAACAACAGATTTGTTCTGTGCATTAGAAAATGAAAGAACAGTTTATATTGCATTTTAACTTTCAGTAGGTGTTCAAGCGACAGAACACTTGTATGTTGAGTCTTGTAAGCCTTACTGGCTTACAAGTCAAATTGTCAAAATTTGTACTGTCCTCTCTTTAGGACATTGCTATTACACTTTTTAATTGTTTTATAATTGTTTGTGTCTAAATATCTTAAGTCATTAACATACAAATCCCTTTTTGGCAATTTCCTGGTTACATAATCCATAATCAGCTATAATAGTAAAGAGTTAAGGGAAATGAGAATGTTCAAGGTCTTACAGAAGTCAATGTATTGAAAGGTGCATAAAATCAACCGTTTATCCACAGAGTTAAGTTGTAATGGCAATTCAAGCTTCATTCCACATGATCAAATGTTCAGTGGAAGTTGGACTGAGACTGAAAAATATTCACTCCACAAACAACCATACGGCACATTTCCTCGTTATGTTTCATCATTACTATCCCAAAACTCAACTCATAGTGGCAATGTAGAAGTGCATGACTCATTACACCTGGAGCCGTTCAGATTTCATTATCTATCTTTTACAGATTTTCCTATGCCAGAACAGCATTTTCAGAATTGTTCTCCAGAAACATCATCATTTCAGCACACTAGTCTACATGCTGAGACAGTGCATGACTGCACCATAGGTTCCAGCTAGAAACCTTACACAATACTGTTGCGTAACATCAAGTTATGGCTTGTCCCCTCACACCTGAGAGATGGAAATATAATGGAGATGCTGATCTCTAAATCGACACAGCTGAAATATTACCTACTGTAAAATAACTGACAAAGAATCATACTGGAAGAGACAACATAACATCTGAAAAGCAGACATTTTGCATAGTAAAGTGCCACTTGTAATAAAACTTTGTTTAAAAAAAAAAAAATTAATTTTGCTTTGAATCATACCTTTCATACCAGAAAATAAAAACCTCTTACCTTTTTCCTTTGGCCATATTTCACATACTCAACACCAATGGATTTCGTTCCTTGAAACAAGATTTTTGTTACAAGTGTCTTTTCTGCAACTGTCAAATTTGGGCGTGATATGGCTGGGCGAAGGTAAGCACTAGCTGTGCTCCATCTCTGACCTACAATGCACATTTACATTAAACATCAAAATAGTCATACTCGGTATTCTTCAAGATTTTTGCCAATACCAATCAGGATGTTTACAGAGGGAAAGCCTTCACAGAGTTTATAGAGTTCAAAGCAAATGTGACTTGATATAATAAATACAGACTTTATTTTAACACAAGAAATTTCACAATGACATTCTGAACACCTACTATCCTTCCCAAATTTAAGTATGAATCAAGACTTGCATGCCAATGCAATTTTCAATGAAATACACCCTAGACTGATAGCAAGCTGCTGTGAAATGAAGAGGGTGTAAATACAGAGTGCCACAGCTCTTCAGTAATCTAAACAACCAAATGGCATTCAGTGCAGATTATATGCTCCAAAATGCTTTCAGAAGTATCACTGGTGGGTCAGAAATACAAATTACTTAAGCACCCCTTTATGATTTACCTTGGTGTACAGTCATGTCCATCCAGCCAAATCCTTCTTGCTCATAGCCATTCATATCATCTGTGAAGGGATACCCAGCTTGCTGGGTTGCCTCCAGGAATGCATGATGAAGGGGATGGTTTGTTTTCCCTCGTGACACATACAGGGGTCCATTTCCACCTCTGTACTGATCTGGACCCAGTTCATGTGTCTGTGCCTTCTTAAAATAGGGCAAGCAATGTTCATAGTCCCATCCTATCGCCCCTTCCCTGCTCCATCGGTTATAATCTTCTGCATGCCCACGGATGTATACCATAGCATTGAGCGACGAGGAGCCACCCCACACTCTTCCTCGGGGCCAGTACATAATTCGGTTATCCATATGCTTTTGTGATGTTGTGTGGTAATACCAGTTATACTTCTCATCACAGAGGTTGTATGTTAATGCAGCAGGCATATGAATCTTCCACATCAGTCTTTTACTACCTAGAAGGGTATCTTTAGGGCCTGCTTCCAAAAGTAGTACAGTACTGAGAGGGTCTTCAGTCAATCTGTTGGCTAATACACACCCTGCTGATCCAGCTCCAACAATGACATAATTGTAAGAGTTTGCCTTTTCAGAACTAAGTTGAGATGATGCACGTGAATTTCCGAATGATTGTTCATTGATGCCAAATACGTTCTTTAATATGTGTGCTTTAAACAGAGTTCGTATTACTTTGTTCATCTGACTCACAGGACTGCAACATTTAAGTCCTTTCTTTAAGTATGACATCTTTACTGATGGTATCACTCTTGCAGAATTTCTAACAAAAATCCAGTGTTTCACCCTAGAAAAACAAACAAACAAAAAATCCTAATTAAGATGTAGGCATTAATACAGTGCATGACCTCTAGGATGTCAGTCATTTTCAGGTAAAACTGGTATATTTTACCCATTCTCACTATCCAAAAGGTTAACAACAATGCCCATACAACCAATAAATATTTACTCTGAAACTTGCTGTCTTATTCTTTTAATGCAGTCTATGCACCAGTCAAGTGGCAGACTATTTTGTATTATATGCAGCCTGATTTGGCTTGCTTCTTGTTCCGGAGATAGATACATAAAGCACATTTTCAAGTATTTGCCAAAACCATAAAGCATAGAAACCTCTGCTTACCTTGTAGTGTCTATTCATCTGCCTCTACTAGGTAAGAACGTCAGAAAACCAGTAATTTCATAAACTTCTCTGTTAAGTTTGTGACAGTCAGTGATATTGCATAGCCAAGTCACAACAGAAATGAAGAATATGCCCACTGTAGCTTCTGCCAGACCAAATCTAGGACAACATCTCTACAAAACACATGTGTAACAGTGAAACTCATTTTCAGCTACCCCTAAGGTGAAAAACTACTGGGTTTTGAGGTATGTCTCCTAAGACAGGAAAGGCAAAATCTGTTCGTCTGTGGCTTTCTACCTTATTATTAAAACCAGATCCCGCTGGAGTGTTCTGAGGACAATTACAATCTAATACCACCAGATCCTCAGGCTGAGTAGGAATGGCAATTTTTTTTACCTTCACACAAGCCTGTGAGCCTTGCAAGCAGCACAGGTTTAGCTCTGCGTTCCACAGTTTCAGGTATGGGGACTAAATGTAAGATTTTTTTCACTGCCCGTGTGTCACAGCTACCAATGCTGCTGGCCCGTTTGGAGTGCGTTTCTCTTACTCTCTCCCCTTGAAACCAGTCCTCTTTGTATAAACAACTACTGAAAATGGATATCCTCAGGCTGTAAATAGTATTTCTCCCTGGCCCATGGCATCTACCTAAGCAGGTTGCCGTGGATGCTAGAGACTGACTTATCCAGAGGCTGTTACACTGTAATGCACTGCCCATCTGAAAGAGATAAGCAAGCTTTCTCCAAGAAATACATTGAATACTGTATTATGTTTGTGAAATCTAATTTTTCAGAAATTAATTAGATTATTAATGTTGATTTCTGTGATTTTCATACATTCAAGTTTCATAGTTATCCAATACTTTGTAATACAAGCCCTGTATTTTTGTAAAACATCTGGGTTTTTTCACTAAAACATGTCTTAATGAATCACTGAAATAATCAGCTTTTTCTCACTAAAAGGTGGAACAGAACTGTACTCATTTTTCTTGGGTGAAACTCTACAATGTGCAGTTTGTGAGAGCACACACGAGCAACTAAGGGCCAACTGTAAAAAATCAGGTGCAGGTTCCCGATAAATGTTAAAAGTCTTCCACATACAACTATATTTATTTACAATTTGATGTACAATCTCAGATGCCAAAGTATATTTTTTCCTCTCAGGTAAAGGATGGGAATAAACATACATCTCTTACTCTTCCCTAGGAAAAATCTGTAATAGGCTACACAAACCCTCAACCTTCTGGAAAATAAACAACCAACCATAAAGAACAGCTTTCTCTGTTAAAAAAAAATGGATGCAAGGGATAGGTCTGGGCCCAGAGTTCATACAGCTGATTCTCATATAGCTAATTCAAAATTGATCCCAGCTGAAGGTGGGGTTGTCTTTTACAGGTGGAGAATATTAAAGGCTTCTTTCTCAGAAGAAAAGGTTTGGTTACTTCCTGTGATACAACAGAGGAATAAGCAAAGGTAGAAAGGTTTTTACTTGTTTTGATTTTATTTGTTTGTGATGAAGAGGGATACAATTCTGAAGCACCTATGTTTAACCTGCAGAACTGGTCGGTCACAAGACTTTTATTGTTTCAGGAACTGTAGATGGCTGATGGGGTTGGTAGACTATGAGCCTGCACCCTGATAATCTGGGAAAGGTACTTTGTCCCTGTAATGTGAGTTGTTTTTTTTTTTTCTCTGGTGGAGATTCACCATGATGAGGTGAAGTGATTAACCTTACTTCCAAGGAAGTAAACCCTCAGGTTTTGGTCCTACAGATGGTCAATGCTTACTATTTAGATAGGTAGGCTTCACAGACTCTGGAACAAGTACAGGCTTGCTTATTTTGGCATGAGATCTATAATGCTGGCAAATATTACTGTGCCTCCTAACCAGAATGTGTCTGTTAAGCCTCCAACCAACCTAGCTGTTCGCTGTAAAGAGGATAGCTTCTGCAGAATCCCTGGAATCATGTTCAGTCAGAGACTGACTTACTTTGGTAGCGCTGGAGGCTGCAGTTCCACAGCTTGCTACAGCATAAGCAGTGGTTATTGAGCTCCTGAAAACACTCTCTAAAGTGAAACTCCAAAGGCAGCACTGATGTTAGAGGTCTAAGTGTTTGTACCTTGCCTTATGCCAGAGCCCTAATGCTGAAGTCTAGACCCTTTTAAAACTGGATATGTTAAGAGCCTCTCATATGTGCAGTCTTTGAAACTCATAGACTAATTAAACCTTGTATTGAAGGTGTTGGTATCAAGGACTGAGTTCATGAAGTCCTGTAATTAGAACATGATGATACTTCTCGATGAAATAATCTGTGTATCCCTATGAGCACACACGAGTTTATCACAATTCAACTTCTTCTACAGAAGATAGTTTTGTGAAATTTTGCAGGAGTCCCTCTTTGAACATGAGAACATCAGGCAAAAAGTAACCTTAATGCATCTTTGCTCTCAACTTTCCCTTATTTTTTTCTGGCCCCTTTTGCCAGGGAGAATTCACAACCTGTGCAGTGTTCCCAAGAACTGTATTTCAGCAAGAATATGTTTTCCAGTAAATGGAAAATTCAAGTTGTTATCCTAATAGGTAAAGCCATATGAGGCTCCAAGAGGTGCTGGAGAAGCTGACCAAATTTACCCAGTAGGGAACTATAGTTTTATGGCCAGCTCAATTAAATACTGTACTGGCTATGTCAAAACAAAATATGTAGAAATAGGGAGGCTTACACAACATGGTTCTGCTAGAATGCTCTGTACTTACCAACAAAAAGTTGTCTTCTGGGCCTTACTGAATATTACTGCATGTCTTTATCTGGATTCTCACATATCATGACCTTTATGAACATGTAGTAAGTTGTTCCTCAGGAATCAGTGAACAGACCTGCAGAAATGCATATGGCAGCAACATATTCACTGTATTGCATTAGAGCTTCAAATTCTGGAGCTCATTTTAAAAAAGTATGTATTTACAGATATTATTACTACTGAGCAGGGCCTATAGACAGTGGTCTTAGAACAGTGAGGAGAGCAGGAGCATCTCAGCAGGAAATTTTTTTTGATACAGTTTAATAATGTATCTAATTGTACACAAGATAGCTAGAAGTGGGCAGTGGAGCTCTGAAGTTAGTTTGGGGCTCCTTACATCACTATAACACATTTCTGAATGCAGTATGAGGCTTGCATGAGAAATAAACCCGGATGTAACTCATGGGTACCTACCACTGCAACTCTACAGATGTTTATTTGGGGTCACATGTGAAAACAGACTTCTCTAGGGGACAGTGAAGCTGTGAAAGGTGAAGAATGAGTTACTTCACTTTTTTTTTTTTTAAAGGAAGAGAGAGACATAAAGGAGAGAAAAAGATATGTAAGAAGCTGTGTAGGGCATCTAAGTACTAAATTGGCTTGGTGTCTCTATAGGAAAGCTAATCAGAAGTGCTAGAGTTCAGCCCACGGACTTCTAGACTTCTAGATTTAAAAGGCTCACAGTCCACAACAGAGAGGAGGGTAGGTGTCCTGCACGCATAGCTGGGATATATTGAAAAATGGACAGTAATGAAACGGTTTTGTAGGTGGATGAGGTGGCTAATCCAAAATAGTTACAGGACACTGGGCATCATTACAGTTATCCAATCAGAGCCGTCCTGTTCTTTGATAAAACTTGCAATAAGAGTGATCAAAAATATGTACTGAGACAGTTAGGGTACCTGCTGTGTGGGCTAGAAGGCTGAAGTACCAGCCAAGAAAGCTAACTCTAATGTTTCTTTTATGTGACTGAAGTAGTATCTTGAATCTAATCCACCACATTTGTCAGATTTCTAGTTAGATGTTATTGCATGTTTTGCTTTGCTTTTTTTCTGTTGTTGTTTTACATCAAATGAAACACGACTGGCAGAGTAACACTTGAGAGAATTCTTCTTTTGCAAAGCCTGAGTTGAGAGTGAAGTCAGTCAACGGTGTCCTAGTTACAGTATTCAAGTAACTTTGTGAATCAGTGTGTAGATGATTTACAGATTTCTGTGATTTTAAGTTCACAAGTGCAGCAGTCAAAAATCAAGCCATTCTAATTTAAATACAGCACACACAGTTGGATTGAATAGATTAAAACACTAGTTTCAGTACACAACTCTTTGTCATACTGATCCATACCCACTCTCATCTACGCATGGTCCTCCCGCATGAGCACCATTCCACCCTAGGTCCTCCAAACCAATCCTGAAACAGGAGAGATGGTCACTTTACTCCCTGTCTTATTTTGCCACAGCCAAAGCAATATAATCTCTGACAGATGTAAAACATGATCCTCTCCCGGAGATGTCTAACAGCGTGGACAACATGTGGTGCAGCAGAGCAGTGGGACCTTTGCTGGACATTTACCCTCCACAGCGCTGCGCTGGTAAATGCTGTCAGGCATAGGAGGAACAGCTCCTCAGGTAAAAGCAGCTCTTGCTTGTTCCCCCCCCCCACTGTAGACTCTGCACACAGTTTAAATTCATTTGCTGTGGGAGTGTTTTGGACTAACTTTCCCTTCAGTCCTGCTGGTAAGAAGTTCATTCACCTACAGAAACCTCGTGGCAAGTTTCATTTCCATGGCTGAAACTGTCCAAGCTTACTCACCTCACCTTTTCCTCCTTTAACAACAAACGTATCTGCTGGCCCAGGGCGTCAGGCTGC